AAAAGCGCATGCACAGTGTAAAGCAACCATAATAAAGAAAAAGTATCCACACAGAAAATAATACTACGATTTCTGATTAATATATCAATATGGTTTGCATTTTCCTTCAGAACCATGAAAGGAAGTCAAAATGATATTGCATAAAATAATTAAGACAAAACAATAAAAGCAATCAAATCGTAAAAATGGAAAAAAAATAATAATATAGGAATTTGTAAAATGATGCATTGCCCCTAATACACATCATGTAGTAAAAAGTATATTATTATTATTAATTATTATAATAGCAAATGTGTGCAGCTACTTGTTAAAAAGAAAGGTAATCAGACCGCGATGACAGTCTCGTAGATAAGAACGCATGTTATCTGCAGTAGCCAGCCAGTTGGAGGTTAAGTGTAAAAACCACACACGGAATGATGTTCCAACTACTTGAGTTATGGTTGCTTCTTGATATCGGCCGTCTCTTCAAAGAAATCTTGATTCACTATAACCTCACAACTTTCCCTTGGATCCAACAGCTAGTAAACAGAGGACAGCATAGAGTTGGACAATACTGTGGCTGATACTGCTGCTGCAATGAGGTCAGTTCTATTCACTTTCCTTCAAGTGAACCAGATTCAGTGCATCCAGTGATTATAGTTTCATAGACGTCCTTCGTAAATGTCACGAATAAATCAATAGTGTTTGCCATAATAGAAATAATAATAAAAAAAAATTCTCAAACCAATAACTGGCCACCAAGCTAAAGGAAAAAAAAGTGCTTCTGGAGCAGGGCAGAGTTTGTGAAATCCATCTGGCTTCTAAGCTGAAAGTGTACTGATGGATTACTTCAATGGTAGCTACTATTAATTTCTTCTCGGTAAAGATCCCTTTAGTTCTTTTCCAGAAGGATTTGCTTCGTCCTCCTTGTAATCTTTTCTTCATCTTGTGGCAGAAAAAATAATCCCCTCCGCTCTGCTGCAAGACAGTAATGGTAGCCAAAAAACCTATTTAATGTAAACAGAAGAGATCATAAAATATGTTCAATATGTCGTATTGTATGATGTAAGCAGTAACACTGGCTGCCACACACATGGGCATCTTTGGCCTGTAGATTACTGAAAACCCCCAAAACATTATAGATTTGCTAAAAGCAGAGGGACCTGTAGAATAACAATATGTTAAATGTTTACATTGTAATTGTTTACTAAACCTACACTTTAAGCAAAAAATACACTTAATTTTAATGCGCATAAATGCAATATAATCCCAAAGGGCTTTGTAAAAAATAAAAGATGAAATTGCGTAGAGTAAAAAAAAATAGCAAATATGTCAGGCCTCAAAATAGCATGTGCTTGCAAAACAGCAACATATGTACATGGGCCAACATAGTACAAGGGCAACAATTTAAAAACCTTTACAACTCATGAGTTTGTAGTTGTAGTTTAAGAAAGGAAAAGCGATGTTAAAATCTATACCGATAACAAAAGGAGAATACAAGTCAAGTTTGACTTCTGCTATTACAAGAGGTGCCCTACAGTGGTTACCATCAGCGTCCAGACACTTCTGATTACTGCTTGAGCAACGTTGACCAAAGTGTCTATTTGTATCACTGCGCATACCGCTTCAATTTTTTCCCGAAGTACCGCCAGTGTATCCTTTAAGGTCCCCCATAGGCAGCAGTCAAGATGTGTTAAGTCAGGAGAACATGTCTAGGTACACTTGACCAGTAACAGTACCTTAAAGAATGGTCCAATTAGTCCCCTTAATGACAGTCCACACCAGACGTTGAGGCCCGGTAGATTGACGTCTTTTTCCACATGAATGTGTGCAGAGCCCAATAAACACAATTATGTTGGTTTACTGTTCAATTTACACAGTGCTTCCTCAGACCAAACCATTTTCCCCACATTTATATTTGTGTGTGTAATAATATATATATATATATATTTTTTAGGGATGCACCGATACCAAGTACAGTACAAGTACCGATACTTTTCCAGCTCCAAGACTAGACTAGAGAAAAATTCAAAAGTTAGGAGGCCGCTGTCATTTGTAAGGAGCACACGGAGCTCCTGGGATTTGTGCATCTCTGTTTTAATGTAGGATTTTGTTTTTATAAATATAAATAAACGTTATATATATATATATATATATGTATATTACACACACATACATATACACTAGACATGAAATGTAAAGTGTATGTATGTAATACAAGATTATTCTCCACTCTGCCAGCTTCAGTTTCAATAAGCTTTGGTTCAGGCAGTCTCCAAAAAACTTTTTCATATTTATCACTAGATTGGAAAGCTCTCTCTAACCTTGTCCATTCCCCACTGTACCTCTGCTCTGTACCAGACCTTTTCCCCTCCTCTGTTACAGACAATTTACAATCCGGCTTTTGGGGAATTCAGAATTTTGTTGTTCAGCACACTCTCCAACCCTTAACGCAGACCCTACAAAACCACCTCTTCACCCATGCATATAATCTGACATGAAAGAAGTCTTTGCAATTACTGGCCCAGCACTGCTTTCTGCTCCTCTACCTGGAAGATCCATACTTCATTTGTATACACTTACTTTGTACAACACAATAGGAATGAATGCAGTTCTATAAAACAGTCACAACAACAATGCAACGGGTGTTCCTACTTGAACTTTTACTAAACTGGGCTGTTCCTGTTAGAGACACAACGTCCTACACTAAATAATTCATGCCAGCCCTACTTCATACCTTCCCCAGTGGAGACAGATTCCCCAACACTAATAATCTATTGTCTATTTCATAATTGTGCCAAGCCCCACGTGCACCGCTAAGACTCCCCAAACTGCCATGCCTGGTACAAACTGCTACCCTTCCACTTTACACATAAGGAAAACAGGTACAAACTATAGTTATCACCCACACTGGGCTGGAACAATCCATACGTGATTTAGGGGTTCAGTTAAAAAGCAATGGCATAGCGTGCACATTGTCCAAACTGATGGCGTAAGCAAAAAAAATCCCCCCAAAAAATAATTTCATATTTATAAAGCAGCCCCAGTCATAAGGTTATTCTGGGGGACTACACACCACAGCCTGTTTTTTATGAAAGGGATGCGTCAGACCAGGGTTCACACCATTTTCTGGACCAGATCCGCATTTTTACCGTGAATTTGCAGCTTTCTGGGCAGTCCCCCCCCCCCGCTTAAAATGGGCTTTTAGATGTGGTCCAGTGCATTTTTTATACGTTTCCATGCGTTCCAGTCCAGAGACAATAAGACCAGCAGTATTTGTTTTTAGTCTGGTTCGGTCCGACTGCGCTGGTGTGAACAGAGCCCAGAAATACCATAGGGATACACTGGGATGCTTTTTTTGGTCCGGAAACAAACTGTTCTGGTCTGGACATGATCCGGACATGGTGTGAACAAGCCCAGGGTATGAAGCACAGTGTAATAAAGCAGAGAGTGATAGCCAATCTCCATTATAAATGAGCCCCTTGTTATCTGCACTCTTTCCATCCACAAGAATCTGTGTTTTTATTACAGTTATGTACATTTAAAACCTGGGAAACAAGATGATTTATCTGGCCATACACGGGTTTAATGTTTCGCTCAGCCTTCAGGCTGAATGAAAAAATGTAACAGGCTCCTCCATCCACACTAAACAGCATGGATGGACAAATCTCCTGCTGTGTACTCTGTATTGTGACAGCAATGGGCATGCTGCTTTTAGAATACGAACAGTGACGGGAGCTTATTGGCTGCCATCGGTGTTCGCCCGAAAACTATCTATACAGTTCCTTCAATTTTCTATTTCAAGATGTCGGATGGAAAGGTGCTGACGGGGGCGCCCACTGAGTGAATTTCGCACAGTTTATGGTTCTCTTTAGGCAGGAAGTCAAGATGTTAATTGTGCGATCCTAGGAGCTTCTCACCTCTTAAGTCAATCTCAGACAAAATGAGTAAAGCTAAACTGGCCTTTTCAATGTCCTATCTAGTGTAATTCTTCTGCAATCAATACAAATATTCTTACATTTGTTACATGTTCTCCTTTTCAAAGCATAACTTAAAGATATAAAAATTGCTGCTTATCTTTTACATTTTAGGTTTACTTGCTTAAAAATCCTACCCAGCTTTTCCCCCTATGTAATGTCCGGGAGGGGGCTGGGGGAAATTAAGTTTACTTTAATTAAAACGGCCTGTAGTGTGCTGGCAGATGTCAGTTGTAAATTAGATTTCATCACTGTCTGTCCTAACAAAGGCTTAAAGACTAAAGGTGCCCATACACCTTACGATTATCGTACGATTTTCGTACGCGATCGACTTTTCGGCCGATAATCGTATGTGTGCATTGCAGTGTCCGACCGACATTACTGTACAATCGTACGACTTTTGACGGTCAAGCATGTTTGAAAACTTTGCTAGATCGTACCATTGTCGTAAGGTTGCTGGCGTTTCCGTCCGTCAAAAGTCGTACGATCTACACTGCGCTTGCGCTAACGAAAATACGGCAAATCAATTACCGCATTTCGTCCAGGTGCTTTTCGTTAATTACGGCTAAATTAATCTAGCGATAATCGGGTCAGGATGGGGCTGCCGTATGAAAATCGTACGACTATTCGATCATCGGACAAAAAGTTTCGTCCGATGATCGTAAGGTGTATGGGCACCGTTAGAAGCATTGTATGTTAATGAGAGGAGGCTCTGTCTGTCCATCTACTGTCATTTTCAAACTGCTCGGAGTAGCCTGCAATCTGCACAAAGGCCTTCACCAAAGACAGCTTAAAAGTAAGAAATATATTATTTTAAATGTTTTCGGTGTGCTGTGTGAAGGGAAACACAAACATGTAGTGGGGTTTTCTTAACTTAGAATGCAAAAGTGGAAATACACTTTAAGTCTAAATAATCTCTTGAAAACCTGAAGCCAGCAGAGTCACATATCCTTAAAATTAGCCGTTACCCGGATAATAATGAAAGAGTGCAGCGTTACCACCAGTTAATTGTCCCAGTCTGTGTAAGGCAAACTCTCCTCTTCATCATCCGATTCAGGTGAAGCCTCTTTAATCCGTCGAAGTGCCTCATGAATGCTGCGTGTCAGCGGGTCTGCGTCATTCAAGAGTGTGAAGGATTCTCTTAACACGTCTGTCTGCACCTTCTTCAATTTCACCCCCTTCCTGATTTGTGCCAATATATTATTGCTGTCATCCTCGTCAGGACAAGGTGCCAGTGTTCTCTGATCCACTTTTTTCAGATGGAAACTTCCACGTTTTAGGGAAGCCAAAACTTCATCCATTGGTGAGCTCACTGGAACAGGCACAGAAATTAGGGTCAAATCAACTTTTTTTTTTAAGCATAACAAAATTGAAATATTAATAATGACAGACCAGAGCGTGTATGCTGACCAATCAGAGTGAGAGGGGTTAAACAGAATACAACGTCTTATGATTAACAGGTGCAAATTTGGTGGTACAAATTACCCCGGAGCAGTACAGCACAGAAATCAATGTCAGTAGCAATGTTGTCATTTTAAAGGCTGCAACAATTTTGGTTGGTCAAATTAAATCTATAGTACAAAGAGAATAATCCACGCCATTTATCAATTCACATGCTACAGTTTCAAACTTAAATGGCTTATCGCCACCTATGATTTTGAAGGTGGAATATAAGGGTGGGCCACCTCTGCCTTACTGTATGATGCAAACGCCCAATTAACCCCTTCATGTTATATTTCACATTTTAGGCCTGAAAACTACTTAAAACCCCCAAACATTAAATATTTTATGAAAGCCAGGACCCTATAGAAAAAAATGGTGGCAAATTTTTATGTTGCACGTTATTAGCGCAACTCCTTATCAAACCCCAAAATGTAGTGAAAAATTTACTTAAATGCCACCAAAACACAATATAATACCCATTTTTAAAATAAAATATAAAAGGTATAAGGTTACAACGAGTAAATAAATACCCAACATGCCTAGGTTAGAAATTGTGCGTCCGTGAAACGGCGACAAACTTCAGTGCCCCAAAAAGTCCATAGACGACGCTTTAAAAGCCACCGCAGGTCATCAATTTAGAGATACCCAAAAATACTGGCCCTAGAATTATTACTCTCACTCCAGCGTGCGCGGCGATACCCAACATGTTTAGCGCATTCGTCGTTTTCATACATAGCCACAACCGACGCGTGTTTACGTGGCGACGCGCGTGCTCCCGGGGGTGGGGGACTATAACACATTTTTTAAAATTATTTTTAGATTTAATCGCACTTTAATGGCTTATAGCTGGGCTTCAGGAGCCGAGCACTGACAGCTATGGGACCGGAAGTGATGCAATCTACAAGTGATGCAATCGGTTCCATAGAACTGGGAGGGGATCGACGAATGGAGGTTTGTCCAACTCCTCAGCTCCCTGCCGACACCAGAGAAGCCGGTCCCGTGCCTGTAAGAGGGGAAACGGAGCCCAGGAAGCAAGGCGGGGGGGACCCCTTCACCGAGCCATAGAAGCGATCTGGCGACAGCTGAGACGCCAGAATCGCTTCTATTGTAAAGCCGACAGTCGGCGTTACAAGTTCAAAAAGAGTCCCGGTGGGAGTCTGTTTAAACAGCCCCGATGCTGGCGACGTACACTGTACGTCGTCAGTCGTGAAGGTGTTAAACATTCAATTTAAATTTGATATTTACATACCAGGTGCATCAAAACAATAGGAGTTTAATGCCCTACAGGTAACTATTTCTAAAGCAGCCACAGTCAAAGAAAGTCTGTCCCCTGCCAGCAGCTGCAGAGTGGGACATTTGCTCTCTCTGGGGAAACAGTGGTCTCTCTGCAGACGCCTGACACACGCACAACGAGTCAGACCTATAGCGCTGCAAATAAGCACAGCTCATGCTCCCCAGTGAGTGAAAAGCCCTGGATCTGACTTAGCAGGGGGTGTCAAACCTTTGCATCTGCACAGAAAGTCCCACTCCGCACCATGCTGGCAGGACATTACTCAGGCTGTGGCTGATTTAACAAAACAAACTGTAAGAGCAGCGCAGAGGCTTAGTGGATAGCTCCTCTGTCTTGCAGCCTTAGGCCCCATCCACACGTAGCGATATAGCGCGCGATTTCCGCCACGATATCGCGCATTTTTGCAGCGCGATATCGCGAGAAGTCGCCGGCTAATGATATTCAATGGAGCTGTCTTAGCTCCATGTCGCTCGTCGCGGTCGCAAGTCGCTTCTACAGTACCCTTTTTTCGGCGGATTTTGCTTTTTTCTAATGGAGCCCGACGGAGAAGGTCACGCTACCGTCGCTGGATCGTCGCGCTATCACGGCCGACGCAAAATGTATGTCGCTACGCGTGAATGGGGCCTTAGGGTTCAAATCCCAACCAGGAAACTATCTGCATGGAGTTTGCATGTTCTGCCTATGCTTGTATTGGTCTCCTCTCTTGTTTACTCCCACAATCCGAAGACATGGCGATAGATTTAATTAGCTCCTGCCTACATTCACCTGTCTAAATCCATGTGGCTCCTTTTTATTTGTAATTAAAGTTTGCTGGGTGGTTCCAATAGGGTCACCCATGGCTTAAATACAGCTGATCTAGCATTGGGCCCTGAAGCTGATCGCTTGTATAAGGTGGTGGTCTGTGCGGTCTCTGCTTCATCAGCTTCTTGGGGGGGGGGGGGGGTCTTGGGAGACCCCCGATTTCTCCATAAAGAGGACTTGTCACATCCTCTTTGCTATCACATCACATAGGGGCATGGGGGGGGGGGGGTTCTTAGCCCCCTATGTGATAGCATTTTTAAGTCCCCACCCATACATACACGCGTGCAAACATGCGACGGGTACGCATACGTGCGAAAACAACAATTGCGCCCATTACGCTGCACATGTTACATATCGCCGTGAACGTCGGAATGAGAGCAATAGTTCTAGGGCCATCAATCACTGATAACACTAAACTGATGAGCGGTAAAAGCTTTTAAAGCGTCGACTATGGCCAATTTTGGGTATGGTAGTTTTTGTGATTTCGCGGGCGCGTGCAATTTTAAGGCTTGGCATGTTTGGTGTCTGTTTACCCGACGTGACCCCGTCTTTTATATTTTACTAAAAAATTGGGTATTAATAATTGTATAATAATATGTAAAAAAACAAAAAAACTTTTTTTTATTCAAAATTTTCAGTAATCTTTCCTTAATATAGTAAAAAATAAAACCCGCAGTGGTGATTAAATACCACCAAAAGAAAGCTCTATCCGGCCCTTAAAAAATGTTATAAAATTAATTTCAGTACAGCGTTGCATGACAGAATAAATGCCAGTCAAAGTACCGCAGCGCTGAATACTGAAAAATGGCCTGGCCAGGAGGGGGGTGGAAACACCCCAGTCAGCAAGTGGTTAACCAAATTCGTGTTGTGGAAAAAGAAAGTTACCTCTTCTTGTGTGAAGGCCTTCAAGAGCTCCTGTTTTCTTCAGCTTTTTTCTGGCACTGACAAGTTGACTGCTATCAAATAACTGTGATAAGGGGGCACCTGCGGTTGCTGGAGGTGCAGCGTCCTCTGGCTCCTTCTTGACATGTATAACTCTGACATCTAAAGGTTCTGACTCTTCTTTTAAAGGAAGTGGAGGTGGTGGTGGCGGTGGAGGAGGAGGTGGAGCAGAAGACACAGGCAGAGACTGGGGTTGTACAGTATTAAGTTCAAGTTTTTCACTGGTGAAAGTGGGAAGAGAAGCTGTTTTAGGAAGTTCAGAACTAACTGCATTAGGAGGTAAAGAATTCTCTTCAAGCTGTGGTAGGTTATCCATTTTACGAACGGCCAATGGCTGTAAAACCTCTAGTCCTTCAACATCAGGTATCCCTTGTGTCTGAATACTGACAGAGAGGGACTGCGGTTCATCAAGGCTGGGGGTATTTCTTGCTGTGAGTTTCCTTCTGCCAGGAGTCAAACGCAGTCTTGTCGACTTCATTATCACTTGCCCAGGATGACGCTATGAAAAAAACAATAAGTCTGGTAATAAAAACCATTTCATAAACTGCATCAAACGGATTTCACTTATTCTAGACTTCCAGGAAAGTACCGTTGGTGCTGGTAATATAAAGCTACCGGAGCATTGTGACCTGCCACCAACCTGTTTAAATGTGCGGAGTCTATCCAAGGTCTTCTGTCGCTCCTGACTGACCCAAGTGCTCGTTTGTTCTTCTTCATCTTGCGGTTTGTCATGTTTCTAAAGCACACAATGCAAACGTAATTATCAAACTGAATGTATGAATAGCCATTAAAATCCACTTACTACAACTGATAAAAATGGGGCTCCTGATGTGA